GTTTTTAATTGAAAAATCTTCATGTCATTGTAATTATGTTTACCGAAGGAAAACATATTGTTTTTGCTCCTTTTCTTCTTCCGATCCAAACACTGGCCTGTGACCCGGTCATGGTAACTGGTGTTGGGTTCCATCATGTTGCAATTTTATAGTATGAGGTATTTTGACTCCTGTCACCATATATATGAATGTGTTTGAGTAAGAATTACCAGAGCAGAACATATGCGAAGGTATAAACATTTTGAATTTGCTTTGCAAATGTTACCCTTTTAGTTTAGTTACAGTTTTCAGTATATTTCATGCAATTATGGCACATTTCTGACATTTATGTGTGGCAGTTCTCCAACACGAGAAACAAATTTCCACCGTTAATTTTACTTGTGCTTTACGTAACAGCAACCCCAGCAACTATTGTTCGCGAAACTCATCAAGCGTTACTTTTTCTGAGTTGAAATTCTGCAGACATCTTGAGGCTTTAATATAATGGTCCTTTTCGTGGCTCCGCCTGATCTTCTAAAAGGCATCCAATGCAATTTAATAGCGGCAAGGGTGCGGTATATAACATAACAGAAGATGATAGACTATCATGCTCTACAGAAATGGCATTGAAAGTGTAATGAACTCGTCATGCCGAACCCTCAAACCTACCACATCCTCACGCACGTAAATGTAATAAAGCAAGAGCGCAGCACGCGCTTGAGAACGCCGCCAAGCTCTTATCGTTTTGCCGTCTAGTGGTGGTCGATGTGATCCCTGGGATTTTGCGATGATACGTCAGAAGACGAGCTGAATCTGTGCTTTTACCCTGGAACGTGTCATCTATCATTACTTTCATTAGTAGAACTGAAGCTTTCGAAGGTATTCCTTTGCTAGCTTTGTAATATAAGTTGGCCAGATGTTAAGGCGGATGATTTTGTCCTGTGATAGCCATGTTTTATGTCGTCCGTAGGGTAGGATTTATAGCTGGGTTATCTGTGACGTGTGGATTACTGCGTCTGAACAGCGTCCATCGAGAGAACAGACAAAGTCGGTTTGAACAGCAAAACCACATGCAAAAGCAGATTCGTACAGTAGGAGATTAGACAAAAGTAGATTTGTACAGCAAGGGAGCAGCCAAATTTGGTTTGCACAGCAAGAGAGAAGAGAAACGTAATGCTGAGGTCACATTTCCAAACCAGGGCCCAAAATGGAAAGAAAACTATGATATATATAAAAGACAAAAAAGCACAAAAAGTTAAAGACATCAATAATGGGAACTATTTGAGTATATTATCGATATAAATTGCTGATTTTTACGTTAATCGAAACAGCCCGGCCGGGCCCCGGTTGGAAAATGTGACCTCAGCATAACCTCAGCATAAGGTTTGTATAACAAGAGAGCAGACAGAAGTAGGTTTGAACATCAAGAGTGCAGCAAGTAAGATCCTAATCAAAACAAACAAACAAACAAACAAACAAACCGTATACCAACTTTCTGATTTCTTACTTGTGAGACTCCAGAGCGCTCATCGGATCTTGAGAAGCAAACAAAACCCCGGGAAGCTATCACAAAACGCCGCGTAGCTGAATGAACACGTCCGGTGGAGACAGCGACAACCGCTAGACATATTACGCTTTCACAAGTTGTCGCTATAGTCTGGCATGCATCGCACAGATAAGGGTTTCTAACGCCGGCATAAAGTACAGCCGTTACATTCCGACCCATTCATCACGCATTATGCTGGTATCAAGGCGCTGTAGGGGCGCCACAGCTTCTATTGAAGACCTGCGGGGAAACCGTTAAGAAATGTCTGTTCAGCCGTTGTCATTACTACCTGCTGCTGAGTGCAATATCCGACATCAACTACAAACTAGTTACAGCACCTAGTTTATATGGTGGTGTTTTGTTATACGTGTGTGATATAAATTTAAAATTGCATTAAAATGGTATGAAAAATATAACTCTTCAGCTGGTTCAAATCTAGAATAACTGTGTGTGTAATGTAGTGTTATTTGCTGTCCCGTTGCATAACTGTAGACGTATGTGCATCAGCTATTGCTGCCTGTAAGTCTGTGTAATGTGTTGCCTTGCATTTGAACAAGTAAACTATAAACCGTTTTAAAGGCATGTTGTGCAATTTCTGGGCAGCAATACAAAAATATTCTGGATGAGGAAATCTGTTTGATTTTGACATTATCTGTCATTAACTGACACTAACAGCACATTTTCCACATCATTTGATACCTGTAGCGTTTGAAATGGCAGCAAAACTAGCTACTTGAGTAATCCCTTTATTTTTGGTACCACCAATAAATCAATGAATGGCTAGAACCAGACCACCATATGTATATAAGACACATGGAACCGTTTTGTTTTGAATTTTCTTTTACTTACACACACCAGTATGCTGTGATTCAACTTACTAATATAATATTAAAAGATTACCAGACAATTTACTTTGACAATTGAGTCTCTTTGCTGCCATGAGTATGCTTTTTGCACCTTTAATACGTACAAGATGAATTATAGTACCTTATTTTGACGCCATAATAAATATGGAAAACACATTCTAAAACGTAAGTTGAATCTCTGCTTCAGATTTTCTGATGAAAACTTGTGTCGAAATCTATATAACATGGCTCTCAAAAATGCGTCTTATTGTCTTATTCCAATATCTTATAATATACTACAATTAAGGTAAAGAAATGACGTTATAATTAAGAAAGATAACTACTAACCTTAGCGTTTTTGAATCGGCGGTGAAATTCTTGGCTCGACGATCCACCCAACACGAAAAAGCGACGTGGCTTCTCTTTGAGATTCTCGACCGGCCAAGCAGCTCTGTGCGACTCAACAGACACAGCTAGAAACTCCTGTACATGTATAATGCAGTTTCCAGTTTCCTGCACCACAGGAGCTTGACGTAGAGCCTCCGTCATGAGATTTATATAAGGGATGTCTAGCCATGGGGGAATGAATGCAAGTCAATGTCAGAAATACAGCGCACCTACATGTAGCTTCTTTCTATGCGCCACTCTGCAACCCACGCACTAACCTTTTATGTAGCGAGCTTTTACGTAACTTGAATCGACTGTTCCATGTATTTTTACTTTGTAAACCCCTGCATGTGTTGGGATATGGAAATGATTTATTGATTTTGACATCGGTTATTAATTTGAACACATGGTGCAGGGTCCCTGTGTTATGGGTCAGGCATTTGGGGTGTCAGAGCTATGGGGTGTCAGATCGTACTACGCCTGGGCGAAAACCGGATTTTTCACGGTTTTCGTTGGATGTTTGGTCAACATTGCATCATG